TATCAGACCAAATGTGACAAGAGGACACTGGAACATATTTCAAGTAGGAAGGAAAATAGTAAATAATTGCTTTAGTCCCTAGAGCAACCACTGGGAAAACAAAAAGCTAAAAGAGAAAGTAGGACAATTTTTAATACTCTCAGCAAAGAATGAAAAAGAGGAACAAATTAAAAATGGGGCAAATCGGAATCAGGTGCAAGATGGTGGACTTAAATCCAACCATAACTGTCGTTACACTAGATGGATCTGATCTTTGACAAAGGAGCAAAGATGGTTCAGTGGAGAAAGGTCTGTCTTCTCAAGAAATGATGCTGCAACATGATGCTGGACATCTGTGCAAAAACATCAATCTGGACAGAGATCTTATGCTTTGCACAAAAATTAGCTCAAAATAGATCACAGATATCAATGCAAATGAAAACCATAAAGCTCCAAAGATAACATTGGAGAAAATTTAGGTGACTTTGTGCTTGGGGATGAGTTTTTAGATATAACACCTGAAGTAGGATCTATCAAATAAAAATGGATGCTTGATTTCACGAACTGCTCTGGAAAAGACAAATCCTTCAGTGCATGCAATAAAATCAAGCACAGAAAATAGAGAAAAATCAAAGTTAGATTTTTATAAAGTTGAATAAATAACATTGATAACTTCTGGCCAGACCAGTCAAGCGAAAACAAATAATCCTAAATTGCTAATATCAGAATTCAAAGAGAAAAGATTAATATAGTTTCCATATAAGTTAAAGACATATAAAAATATTTGATGAATTTGTGCAAATAACTGAAACAGCCTTTCTATAGGCTCTTTGAAAAGCACAACTTACTAAAATGAAGTTAAAAATACGAAGCATCAGAACAGTCTTTATATTTGCTTAAAATGAATTTGTCATTTTAATTCCCTGGGATGACTGGATCTTCATGTCGGAGTCTCAGAAAATCGGCCTTTCAGCGTGGCTGACCAGCAGGGGCCGACTGTCCTGAGCTTGAGCCGGTGAGGGCAGCTCAGCCCTCCGCGCTGCACCTGCCGCGTGGCTGTAACTCGAGTAGCGCCACCTTCTTTTTCAGGATTGTTGGCTTCATGGCTGGAGTTTTCCTTATTTTTTAGTGAGCTCCATGTCCACGGGAGAGGCAGGAGACGCCAGGGGGCAGGTGTAGGTGAAGGGTGAGCCAAGAGGACAAGCACTGCTGCCGGCTGAACCCGCACCCCCAAACCAGAGCCCAGCCCCGGAGAAAGCGCCTGCAAAGAAGGGCAAGAAGGTGGCCCCGGGGAGACGGGGGGGGGAAAACGGGCACGGACGGGACAACCCCGCGAACAGCTGGGCCGTGTCCTTGGCCCTGCCGCAGAGAGAGGCCCCAGGGAGGGGGGGAGCGCGGAGAGGGGGGTTTTTGGTTATCCCTGGACCTCAAGCGCTGCTCCTTGGAAGAAATACCACTTTTTGCCTCAATTTTATAAAAATGCAGAAGTTTGGGTTTTGAATGTATTGCTGCACACGCGCCGCTGTGTGCTGGCGGAAGGACAGAGGCCACTGTGCGCGTCCCCAAGCAGCACCGAGACGGGAGTGGGAGCGTGTGGGGTTTGCTGATGCCCCTTGGTTCCCGGGACACTCTCGCTTTCACAGGCAGACACGGGGCTCGGAAGCTGTCAGCGTGGGGAAGCTAACGCTGTCTCCTCCCCTGAGGTCAGCAGCATGGACCTGGTCAGCATGGACCTGACTTCCTGAAACCGGGGTCATAGCGTGCCCTGCTCCCCTAAAATCAGCCGTGTGCCCTGCACCCCCAGAGTCAGCCGTGTCCCTCAGCCATCCTCGGGCTGCTTGGTGATCCCACCGAGACAGTGTTGCTCAAAGAGCCCCGATTCCTGATGGAGCATGAGGCTCACCCCCAGAATCCTGCAGCTTGGGGCTCCCCAAGTCAGGGCGCCCTGGGAGCAGCGCTTACATGCCTGTGATGTGTCCCAGTTCTGAGAGCGATTCCTGCTCAAGCAGCACCACAAGACTTGGTTGAGTTTTGGGGGGGGTGCTGGGAGCCGTAAAGTGTGAGGATTGTGGCCCATCCTGGTGACTGTACCGCTCCTCCTGCCTTCCTCAGCCCGCTCACGCTGAACCCTGTGATGTCAGCCCGGTGACTGTGACCCAAGAGGAGGCTGGTGCCCTGGGGGTGGGGGGAGGGGCAAGTAAAACTAGTGGCCCCCAGGAACGAGCCTGGGAAGGGGCGGAGTGACGGTGAGGAGGGGTTTGTGGCCGCAGGGAGCTCTCGGTGCTCCTGATGGCCGGCGGGAGCACCAGGAGGCGGAGGTCAGGCTGTGTAGACGAGGCTGGAGAGGGAGGCGGGTGAGCTGTCCAGGACCCTGCGTGACCAGTGCAAAGCTCCTACTGGCCACCCCACCGTTCCAGCTCACACAGGCTCCTTCCTTCAGCTCATGTCAGGCCCCAAAGCCCCGATGTGGCGTCAGCTCTGACTGCGCCCTGGCGGGTTTGTAGGGCAAAGGAAAAGTCTTCCTCTCCCTCCTCACCCGCTGGAGGAGGTCCTGAGGAACATCCCCAGCTGTCCAGTGTCCAGTGGCTCTGCCTGACAGGACTTCCTCCCCTGCAGCCCTGGGGGTCCTCCAGCCGATAGACATAGGGGCACAACCTGGGCCCTGCCTTTCCAGCTGCGCGAAGACCCCACATTCAGTGAAGAGTGAGACAGTATGTGGAGGGGCTGAGGCAGAAATGGCTGTGGCCAGGCCTCCCTGGTGGCGCAAGCGGTTAAGCACCGCACTGTGAAGCTATCCATAGCCTCTGCAGCACGAGTTCGATACCCGGCCCTCCAGGAAGCAACCCACATGGCTCAGCAGACCTCTCTTGTCTTGCCCGCTGCTCCCCTCAGCAGTGTGTTTCAGTCAGTCTGCCTGTTCTGCTCCCCGCTCTGTCTCTGGTGAATCCTCTCACCCCCCGCATCTCTGGCCTGTACCCCAGCTCTTGTGTGCATGAATAATAAATCTTAAAAAAAAAAAAAGAAAGAAAATGGCCGTGGCCACTGCAGGGGACAATTCTCAGCACAAGGGAACTTGCAGTCATACTGTTGCCCATTTCTTGAAAATAGAGGGGTTACGGGAAACAACAGAGTGTGCTCTGTGACCTGGTGACACCTGGCAGAGCCTTATCCTGTGTCGAAGCTTTATTTACAGCCTGTACCGAGTACAATAAGCCACCAGGAGCGTGTTCTGGGGAGGGTTGGCTGAAGCAACAACCAGGTCAGACTGAACCCCACGGGAGCACTGAGGACACTGGCAGACACGTGCAAAGCGTGGGCCCGGGTATCCTTCCCTGATGTCCACTCTCCTTGGCGCCCACTTCTACTGGCCATGGGGTGGGATGGGGCTCTCCAGGCAGAGGTTGTGGTTTGAGGGGAGGAGAAGGGAACTTTAGGGAGACACCGAGGGGAGACAGTGGGTGCGCTGACGGGAGCAGAGAACATGGAGAGCAGCTCCTGGTCCTCTGTCGTGTTCCTTGGCCATGGTGCCCATGAAACGTGTAGAGATTTGGGGCTCAGTGTGTGAGGGGCTTTCCCCAAAGGCACAGATCTGGGCGGTGGTGGATTCAGAGCCTCCCACTGCTGTCCTGACCAAACCTCACAGGGTGGGGGACAGCAGCGCTGAGATGCTGCTGGGAGGGGTCACTGGATTCCATGGGACAGACCAGTGTCTGTGGGGTAACAGGGGGGAACTGTTGCTAAATAACTTGAGGGAGCTGATAGTCCTGGGAAGCCGATGAACCCCTCACCCCCAGATGCCCGTCTAGGTAAAGGCATGGAAGATTGTTTTGTCTTATTTTCAAGGCCGTAGCCTCCTCCTATGAGGGGACACAGCCCTTTGTGTCGGCTGGGTCTGGGGGTGTGGGTGGCCCGTATGGTGGCCTTAGGCAGAGGTGGTCTCACACCCACTCTCAGGCCCCAGTGGGGTGCTTCCCTCAAGAGCTCAGGAGCCCTGACTGCATGCTGAGCTTTAATCTCCTGCATCTGCTTACAAGGAACACTTTCTGTTTTGTTTGGTGCTATATAAATTGTTGCTAGAAGCCACATTCTCTTGAGAATTTAGAAGAAATGATCACGAGCAGCCCCAACTCTCTTGTGCTGAGAGGACCAGGTCCACCTGGCAGGTGATGAATTAACACCGTCCTTTTAAAATCCTTCCAACAAGTACGGGAAGAGGCTGTGCTCCCAAGCACATTTTATGGGGTCCTCATGATTAGGGCTCCAGTCAGACTAGCCGGCAGCTCGCTTCCTCTCCACCAGCTGTTTTCACCGTGACACCCACAAGCCACGGAGCACCCTTGCTGGGGACCTGACACGCTGGCACCCCGAGCTTGGGCTTCTCAGCCTCCAGAACTGTGGGGTAAATTTCTGCTGACTCAGCCACCAACCTGTGGCACTGTGATGACAGCCTCGTTGGCTGAGGTGTCAGGTGAGCTGTTGGCGATCATCAAGCTGCGGGGATCCCTGGTAGATATCGGTGTCTGCATGGGGCTGGGTTCTGGTCTGAGGAGATTCTGGGCTCTTTGCCGGCAGCACAGCAGGGAGAGTGTACTCTGTGATGACAGCCTAGTGGGCTGAGGCGTCGGGGTCTCCTCCTCGTGCAGTGGCACCAAGGCTGTCCCTGTTCCAGACCCCAATTCTATCCTTCCAGCCTCCCTGCTGTCTATCCCGCCTACTTCCCTCTCCCCTCTAGGGCACATTCCAGTCCCTGGAGCATCAAACCCAGAGAAGCAATTAACTGATGGGAAAATCACCAAGGTAGCTTCTGTCAGAAAACTGTCTCCCTGGGCCCTTCCACACCAAGTCATTAACAACCATAGTTAGCTCAGTGTCCCTCCCGCTCTGGAAAGATGATCAGACACTGAGCCTGGCTTTCTGCGCAAGATTCAGATTCTTACGTCGCCCTCTGGGATCTACGCTATAACCCAAGACAGCGAAGATTGCTTTGGAAATGTTGGAGCACTAGCAGGAACATGGAGAAGAAGGTTCCTGGGTAGCAAAAGCGAAGCCCCCACTACATGATGGCACCATATTTTTGACTCTTGGAGGGAAACACTTCTTCCCCTGGCTCCACCCATTCTGAACTTCCTGTCTCAGAGACTTTAGAAGTTGCCAGTCCTTTTCTTTGCTCGGTTAGAGGAAGATCCCAGCTCAAACAGCTTTGTTGGAGTGAGCTTGAAAAACCATCAACTAGTTCAAAAGCAGGTGAGCGTGGCTGAGAAGGGGACCAGAGCGATCATGCTGTGGGGCTCCCTGGTAGATATCAGTGTCTGCATGGGGATGGGTTCTGGTCTGAGAAGATTCTGGGATCTTTGCTGGCAGCACAGCAGGGAGAGTGCTGCAGAGCGGTGGGGGTGCAGGGTCAGAGGAGCCGGGACTGACCAGCACCATGTCCCTGCACCTCCCACCTCACTGGCCAGGGTGGGGATGGGAGGGAGGGCTCCCGGGGCATCCCGGTCACCAGTGACGGGGGAAATGGAGAATCTTATTGCTGCGTCCTGCCAGCCTTTCCAGAGAGAAGCTGCGGCCCTGGCGTGAGGTGGGGTGAGGACGGGGTGCTCTGGTGAGGGTGGGCTCCCTAAGGAACAACGTAAGTGGAGCCTCCACCCTCTGCCCTGAGTCCCGGCTTGCTGCAGCTCCCCGTCAGGGAGAGAGTGGGCTCTGCCCCCCGCCCTGGCCTGTCTCTGCTGTGAGGCCACCCACATTTGGAATCCTGGGCCCGAGAAGCAGCCAGGGGGAGACGGGAGTGTGAGTGGTTCAGGGTGGATGTGGGGTCACGGGGACTGAAGTGACCCCCTCTGCCAGCCCCTGTAGCAGGAGACCTGGGCACTTTCCTCAGCGCTGTACGTCACCTCAGATTTCCAATGTTAGTAGCTGGAAAAACAGAATTAGCTTCCCCACGGGCTGCTCGTCGTGAGTGAATGAAACAAATGGCTCCAGAGCATCACCAGTTCCGCAGCCACCCGGGGGTCTCTGCCTGCACAGCTAGGGGTGCAGGAGTCTCCGCAGCTCCTGCAGGCCCAGGACCCACCGCCTCGTTTCATGTTCGTTTCTTCCTGGGACGTCTCCTCAGAAAGGGGCAGCTTTTGTCCAAGAGGACATTTGCTGTTACATCCTCGAGGTCACATGCGGCCCCCCTAGCCCAAGCTCTGTGTGGGTTTGTACTTGGGGCGCATGTGCCCAGCACCACCCCTGTCTGGGGGGACAGACCCGGGGCCTTGAGCAGACTGGCCGATGCGTCACTTTCTCCACCAAGTAGCTGGGGTGACCCTGAGAGGAGAGCCCGCCCCCCACGAGGCTGTGTTCCAGGCCTGCTAGGGAGGCGCGGGGACCTGGACGCCCCTTTCGTGGAGCTCAGTGTGACAGGCTCCGCCTCCGCCCCCGACCCGTGTTTTCGGGGATAATGTTGTCAGAAACAGAAGCCTCTGGACACTGGCGATGGCCCTGGAGCTGCTGACCCTGCGGGCTGGCGCGGCCGCGTCTCTGCCTGGGAGTCCCCCATGGCCCCCGTGGCCCTCGCCGCCACCCTCGCGCTCCAGGGTGACCAGTGCACTGGGGTGACCTGGACACCCCCTGGCCAGGCCTGGAACCAGCATTTTCACCTGCGAACCCTCATTTTGTTTTTTGTTTTTGTTTTCAAATATTTATTAGTTTATACAAGAACCGGGGTACAGGCCAGAGGTGCAGGAGGATGAGAGGATTCACCAGAGACAGAGTGGGGAGCAGAACAGGCGGATCTACTGAAACACACTGCTGAGGGGAGCACGGAGACGTGGGTTGCTCCCTTCCCGGCTGGGGATTGGACTGCAGAGGCTGCAGTTCTTGTGCTGCAGAGGCTTGGGATGGCTTCATAGTGTGGTGCTTAACCCCTTGGCCATCAGGGAGGCCCCAGAACCCTCATGTCGTGTGTGGGAACGGGATGTGAGGATACACTGGGCGCTGAGGGAGCTGTGGCTGCTGAGCTCGGATGGTTTCTGTGTCGTCACCGCCCTCAAAGTCACACTCGGTCTCTCACACACTCACACACACACACACACACACACACACACACACACACACAAGTAGAGTGGGGCTCCTGAAAGCTGCATAAGGGTTCTTTTGCAGTTTTCTTTGATGGAGCCCTAAGGTCTGTCCTCTGAGTGGACAGTGAAGTGGCTGCACCTCCTGGTCTCCTGCACCTGCTCCTTGTGCGGTTCTCCCGGGACACGGGTCAGGTTCACTCCTCATTTGTTTCTGGCTTTTCCTAGTCACCTTGTGGGACAGTTATGCAAACTACATGCATTGTCTTAAGATCAAATCTATAAAATCTAAATATATTGGAAAAAATCTAGTTTCCTGCTTTTATCCCTCTCCCTGCCATCCTATTCCCCAAGGAATAACTTTTGGTTTGTTTAGGTTTCAGGTCCTCTGCCATTGCTTTTTCCTATATGTAGTTACTGCCATTCCTCCGATAAGGAGGGTGGTGTAATCGTGTGTTATAATAGGGTGCGTGGGCTCCTCCTTACTGAAGAGTGACAGCACCTGTACATTATTTTCTTCCCCTGTTTTTTGCATGCTTGCTTGTTTGTTTGTTTTGCTTACAGAGTATCTAGAGATCTCTCATTACTGACAGATTTAAATATTTCTCATTTCCTTCACAGTGGTCATCCTTCCTGGGGTGAGTAGACCTTAGTTTACTCAGCCAGTCTCCCATGATGGACATTTGATGGGTTTGGTGGTTGCTATCGCACATGGTGTCCGTTGAATAGCCTCATGCGTATTTATTCTGTATGTTTTCCAGAACATCCAGCTTTGGGATAAATCCTAACACTGGGGCTGGTGACCAAAGGGTATAGGCGTATGCGCTTTGGGGAGACACTGCTGTTTGTCCCCGCGGGTAGGGGATATTCCCCACCCCCACTGGCCATGTTAGGGAGACGCTGTTTCCCTGTCTGTACTAACAGCCTGCGCGGCAAACCCCTGGATTTCTGCCAAAGTTGTAGGTGAGAAATAGCACCTCTGTGCCGTTTTAATTTAATTTATTGAGTTATTTTATTATGCTTTGATAATAGGTTATGAGTGAGCCTTAATATCTTTTATGTATTCTCAAGGGTCACTTACCCTTTTTGCATGAACTGCTTGGTCATACCTCTTGTTCCATTTTCTCTTATGTTGTGAGTCTTTTCTTTCTCTACTTTTGCAGTGTTTTGTATATGAGGGGGAACATTTTCCCCTTTTCTGACGTTTGTGTGTTCATTTGTATCTAGTTTTTTTTGACCTGGTGGTGGTGTGTAGGTTTTTATGGAATGAAAATTCTGAGTCTTCCACCTCCTGTATTTCAAATCTTAGATTTTCCTAACTCCTAGGTTACAAAGACTGCAGCCACGCTTCTCCTATTATTTAAATGGATTTTTTGCCATCTCAGTATCTAACCTGTTGGAATCGGCGTGGCACCAGAAAGAGGCGAGGTTCTCATTGTCTAATTGCTCATGGCATCACCTCCACATTGGTGATGAACACACTCTCTTTCCCATCCATGTGAGGTGCTGCCTTATTGAATATGAATATAACAAAAATAATTGAATTAAATATATGTGTTGTGAATAGAGTATGGCCAGTTTGAACTCTATCTGAATTTGCTGGTTTTGTTCTGGCTGTACTCACACACCCACCCAGTCTCTGGTGTTGCTATGCGGACAACCCCTCCTGACAACGGGAGCCCCTGGCAGGGTCACCCTCGTTCTCTGGCCGGTGTGCGCAGGTAACAGTTTCCTCCCGCTGAGATGATAAACTCCCCAGCTTGAGGGGCCGGGGAGGTGTGCCCTTCATAACAACTGCAGGCGACACAGAGTCGAGCTGGTGGGGTTTGCTCCTGGTCCTCTGCCCCCCTGAACACGCTGAGCACCCACTGCACCCACGGCTTCTGGAGGCAAGAGGCTCCGCAGGGGCTCCAGAGACTGTGGGGTCCTGAGCCGGCACAGGAGGCTCTGGAGATGCCGTCTCTCCCCCAGCGCTGTGCAGAGCCCAGAACAGCACGAGCTCGTGGGTTGGTCGTCGGTCAGCGCCTCCCTGCGCCTGAGAGCAGCCCTCGGCCCTGTTTACCCACAGCGTGGAGCCTGGACCCTGAGCAATGGCTCTGGAGTTCTTCCTCCTTCTTGTGAAAGGCATCTTCATCATCTAAGCCTTTTAAAAATTGCGGTGTCTTCTCTGGGATTGGGAGTCAACAAGTCTCTGAGTTGCCCACGTGGGTGGTGGGTGTGATGTCATCACCCTAGTGCCATCGTCGTCATCACTTCTCCGTCGTCACCATCTTCTGCTCCACCAGGTCTGCTGTGTCGGCCCTGAATGGATGCATCACACGTGCTCCCACCAGGGGACACTGGCCATGCGTGGCTGCCCGGGCTGGCGCCGGGCAGGGAGGGATTCGAAAGGTCTGAGGAGGCGGCTGCGGGCTGTGGCAAGGCCTCCAGGCTGTGTGGGGACCCGCATGCAGGCCAGACTTGTCTGGTAATACGTCGAAGTGTTTATTCATATTTTTTATCTATTTTTAAATTGGGCTTTTTGTCTTTTTATTAACGAAATCTGTTGTTCATAAATTCTGTTCTTTTTCTGCATTTTATCATATGTTTATTAAATAGATGTGAAGTTCTTCTTCAGATATATGATTTGCAAACAATCTCCCAGTTTGCAGCTCGCTATTTCCTTATTGCTTTTGATACATATTTGCTGCTATTTTTTATTCCTTGTGTTTATCTAATATGTACACTCAAAGCTAGAATTTAAGCTCTAATCACTGCTTTAGCTGAATTGCATGAACTGTGAAGCTCAGGGTTTTAATTACGCTCTAGTTCTAAATATTTATCAATTTCTATTATCTTATTTGATCTATGAGTCATAAAATCATGTTCTCCAATTGCCAACAACAAGGCAGTTTACATTTAATTTTAATATCAGAAAGGCCAGGAAATATGGTGGATGTTATTTCAAACCTGTGAGATCTCTAGGTCACTTAGTGCACCCCGGGGAGCACACCTGTAGAGGGAGGCCCTACATTTCCAAGGTTCTCGCAAGGATGTAAACCAACGGCACTTCAAAATAAATCAATTACGTAAAAAGCAGTTGGCAACTTAAAATAAAAGACCACTATTAATAAATGTTCCCTGTACTCTTGAGAAAAACTGACTCTGAAATGTTAAGAAATAGTTTACAGGTGCTCATCAGATTAG